AGAGAGAGAGAGAGAGAGAGAGAGAGAGAGAGAGAGAGAGAGAGAGAGAGAGAGTGTATGTGTGAGAGAGAGTCAGGAGGGGAGGCAGTGCAGCTAATCACTGTTATTTAAGTCCAAGTCCACACAGACTTATTAGTCAGACAAGCTGATGAATGGRTGTGCTTCTGTTTATTTAGTTGGTTTTCAAATCTACACCCTGGCATAAATTGAAATTTTTCTTTTCAATATCTTCAGATTCTTGGGCTMTTTGTGAGTTCACAAGTATGGTAAATAGCAAATGGCCTGCACTTGTGTAGTGTTTTATCAATTCCAAAGACTCCAAATAGCTTCACCCTTCAATCAGGCACCCGTTCATTTCCACACTGATGGTGGTAAGCTACACTGGAGCCACAGCTGTCCTGGGGTAGACTGACAGAGATGAGGCTGCTGTTCAATCAGCACCACCTGATATCCATGACCTGCATGACCTCTTACAACATGTCTGGATTGAAGTAATCGTGAGAAACCTCCTTTAGTGTGAAGCATGATTATGTTCTTGGTTCTTAGTACTGCATAGGCCTGTCACGATAACAAATTTTGCTGGGCGATTAATTGTCTCAAAATTTATTGCGATAAGCGATAATATTGCCTGGTGACCGTTTTACAACTAATAATTATAAAAGTGTAATATGTAAGTGTAATAAATCAGTAAACTTTAATTTTTAAAGAATGTTTAACAAAGTGGACTCTCAGTCTCTAACAAAAAATGCACTTGAATAAAAAAAACCCCAAAGAACAACAAAATGTAAATWAAACACCACACACAACTAAGACAGTAAATAAACAATATTAAAGAGCAGCATCTCTTTAGAGATKAAGCAAACTACACAGCCTGGTGAGGACCCACTGTTTCTTATGGGGACATGAGCCCAATTCACATCCTATGTAAAGTGTAGGCTAGGTTTAGGGTCAAATGGTAATTGAAAATACTGGTAAATGAATGAAAGTCAATGCAAAGTCCCCATGAGGATAGAAGAA